TATATATATATATACACACACACACACACAGTATATAAACTGAGCACAAGTTATATTTTTTTTTTATTATTTTTGGGACTTTTTCTTTTTTTTGGTTATAACATTTCTAATAAATGTTTCGTCAAAAGACAAAATCCTCCTGTTTTTGCCTTTAAAAAAATAATTTTCATTGTCTCAAGTAAAACAAAAATGTTTCCCACTTGACAAACACGTGGTATGGCCTTGATGACATACATTATCACGTACACTGTATGTAGTGACGTATATCCATACATGATGACATCACTGTCATTCAAACTTGAACGGCTCCAAGAAACAAATGGATCGTCAAGATCTGGTTCCCTTCAAAAGAGCCAAATATCCCATCTCTAGCACACATCGTATGTATTGTAAATAATTGGAACTTACTATCTTATCATATTTTACCTCAACATCTGTTGAATTAACTAAATTATAGTCATTTACATGTTGCCAGAGTTGATTAGCTGTGGTGCAAATCTTGAATTAAGGTTGCTTCAAAAGTTAATTAGTTGTCGATGTCCATCCATCCATCCATCCATTATCTTTACCCGCTTATTCCATTTTGGGTCACGGGGGTCGCCGGTGCTCATGTCCAGCAATCACTGTGCAAGGGGTGGGGTACACCCTGGACAGGTCTCCAGTCCATCACAGGGCCACATAGAGACAAACGAGACAAACAACCCTTCACTCTCTCACTCACACCTAGAGACAATTTAGAGTTACCAATCAGCCTAACATGCATGTTTTTGGTTTGTGGGAGGAAACCGGAGCACCCGGAGAAAACCCACGCATGCACGGAGAGAACATGCAAACTCCACCCAGAAAGGCCCCTGGACTGGGGTTTGAAACAAGGACCTGCTCGCTGAGAGGCAGCAGCTCTACCAGTTGCGTCACCGTGCTGCACATCCTTGATAGAGAGGAACGATGGTTTGAGAGAGGAGTAAAGGAGGCCATCTTTGTGAAAAGAAACCGTCCATCGTTAAACAGGGGTGGAGGCCTACGTGTTCAATTGTCCCCCTCTTACAATGCTGTGATTGCTAGTATCACTCAGCCCTCTGTGAACAGTAAACAGCCATCAGTGTGCTAATGATCCATTGTTAGGCTGATGGTCCTTCTTGAGCATGTGATCAGCTGGTTTTGGTTGTCAGCAGCAAAACTGGTTGATCCACTCTGAGAAGGTGCTATTTAAGAGACTGAGCTGAATACAGCACCTCAGA